TCTTATTCTTTTGAAATCCATTTTTCTTATAAAAATTTATTAATTAAACTAAATCTAAGCATTTTAGAGCTAAATTAAATAAATTGCTAATATGGATAGAGTAATAAATGCCTCGTAATTTTTTATATATGATAAATTAAATTATTTATGTGGATCAATATAAATTATTCTGACAAACATCAGATAGTCATGCTGGTATATATAAATAAAATAGTTGTTTGTTTGAGCTTCACATCTATGTAATAACTATTGCTAATTTTTCATAATTTACATTTTAATATAAATTATAATATTTCAAGTAACACCATGTTGCTTCCACAGTTTTCATTACCACTCAGACTTTGTTAATATATAAAAGTAACAGCCACAGTTTTTCCAGTCATTTTCTCTATAGTCAAAAGTCTACTGTCTACTGTCTATAGCCACAGTCCTTACCAATCAGCCCAATATAGTATATAAACTCTAAGCTTAAAGAGTACTCAAGGTTTTGCAACAATACTTTTAGCTGTGTAATCCTCTGCAAGAAGCTTTGATATTCCTTTTGCCAAACAAAATTCCAATCAAGAAGTCACAGTCAATACTTTTATCTCCTATACTATCGATTTTTTCGACAGTTGGAAGGATTATTGAAATGGAAATCAGAAAATTTTCAAAGTAGAAAGACTAAATTGAGGAAGAGACTGTATCCAAAGGAACGACACATGTGTGGCTGAGTTTGGAAGGCCAATCGAATTTGACGCAATTGAAACGTTCTTCTCGGCGATTTGCTTACATTGGCTGCTTCCAGAAATATCTCCGGCCATATAACGAGCGTAGATTTCACGCGCCGTCGTTGACACGTCGTCTTCGATCTAGCTTTGATCGGCGGATTTAGGCACTGCCGGGAGTGGCTCGACGGTGGGTGGTAAATGGGTAATCTGGAAGACGAATAATTCTGATTTTACTCCTCATTAATTTTGCTATTTACGTATCTACCCCGTTTCTTTTTATTAAGTCGATTTTACTCCTCAACAATTTTGCAATTTACACGTCATTTTATATATTTTATATATTTACACGTCATTTAATATATTTGAAAAATTAATTTTCTTCGACCAAAAAAAAGAAAAATTAATTTTCACTTTTATATAAATCAATTTATCACCTGAAGATGAAGAAAAATATAGAATTGACAATG